AAAATGATATCATTAAAAACTCAAACAGTCAATGGTTTAAAGACTATTAAAATGATATCATTAAAAACTCAAACAGTCAATGGTTTAAAGACTATTAAAATGATATCATTAAAAACTCAAACAGTCAGTGGTTTAAAGACTATTAAAATGATATCATTAAAAACACAAACAGTCAATGGTTTAAAGACTATTAAAATGATATCATTAAAAACTCAAACAGTCAATGGTTTAAAGACTATTAAAATGATATCATTAAAAACTCAAACAGTCAATGGTTTAAAGACTATTAAAATGATACTAGACAATAATGATAAAAATATAAAGAGAACAACTAACGTTTTACAGTATTTAGGATAGACTCCTTTAGTCCTAAAATAACAACTGAATTCTTCGATTTATCAGCTAAATAACTTCTCTGTTTCTGTTTGTCCAGCACTACTAACCCCGCATTACTCTTGTCTGGAACTAATAACTCTGTCTTAATTCTTACCGGACATTAACAATCCTGTCTAAATCTTGTCCGGCATTAACAACCTTTTCTAAATCCTGTCCGGCATTAACAACCCTGTCTAAATCTTGTCCGGCATTAACAACCTTTTCTAAATCCTGTCCGGCATTAACAACCCTGTCGAAATCTTGTCCGACAAAAGCAACACTGTCTAAATCTTGTCTGACAAAAGCAACCCTGTCTAGATCTTATCCGGCATTAACGACCCTGTCTAGATCTTTTCCTGTCATTAACAACCCTGTCTAGATATTGTCCTGTCATTAACAACCCTGTCTAGATCTTGTCCTGTCATTAACAACTCTGTCTATATCTTGTCCTGTCATTAACAACCCTGTCTATATCTTGTCCCGTCATTAACAACCCTGTCTAGATCTTGTCCTGTCATTAACAACCCTGTCTAGATCCTGTCCTGCATTAACAACCCTGTCTAGATCTTGTCCTGTCATTAACAACCCTGTCTAGATCCTGTCCTGCATTTATGCAAATGGAATAAACTGAAGTGACGACAATTAAATATTACCATATTTCTAAATCTTTCTAAACAGTTTTCAAAAATAATAAAAAAAATCGTAAGAACTGTTTTTAAACTTTTATTTTTACATCTCTCTACGGCTTTCTTGAAGTGAAAAAACGATCATATAACCATGTTCTGTTTATTTAAGATAATCCAAGTTCTGGACGATGATATTACCATGTTTCTGTTTGTTGAAGACAATCCAGGTTTTGGACAATGATGTTACCATGTTTCTGTTTGTTTAAGACAATCCAGTTTTTTGGACAATGATATTACCATGTTTCTGTTTATTTAAGACAATTCAGTTTTTGGACCATGATATTACCATGTTTCTGTTTATTTAAGACAACCCAGTTTTGGGATAATGATGTTACCATGTTTCTGTTTATTTAAGACAATCCAGTTTTTGGACCATAATATTCCCATGTTTCTGTTTAGTTAAGACAATTCAGTTTTTGGACAATAATATTACCATGTTTCTCCCTTTATTTAAGACAATTCAGTTTTGGACCATGATATTACCATGTTTCTCCCTTTATTTAAAACAATCCAGTTTTTGGACCATGATATTACCATGTTTCTGTTTATTTAAGACAATTCAGTTTTTGGACCATGATATTACCATGTTTCTGTTTATTTAAGACAATTCACTTTGTGAACCATGATATTACCATGTTTCTGTTTATTTAAGACAATTTAGTTTTTGGACCATGATATTATTATGTTTCTGTTTATTTAAGACAATCCAGTTTTTGGACCATGATATTACCATGTTTCTCCCTTTATTTAAGACAATTCAGTTTTTGGACCATGATATTACCATGTTTCTGTTTATTTAAGACAATTCACTTTGTGAACCGTGATATTACCATGTTTCTGTTTATTTAAGACAATTCAGTTTTTGGACCATGATATTATTATGTTTCTGTTTATTTAAGACAATCCAGTTTTTGGATAATGATATAAACATGTTTCTGTTTGTTTGAGATTATTCAAGTTTTAGAAACCAAAGTGCTTGAATCAATGACTATGTGTTTTTGATTGGTCTGTCAGGTGTCCACGTGCTTGAATTAATAGAAACATATTTTTGATTCGTTTGTTAGGTGTTAACGTGCTTGAATCAATAACTACGTATTTTTGATTGGTCTATCAGTTGTCCACGTGCTTAAATTAATAGAAACATGTTTTTGATTGGTTTGTCAGGTGTTCACGTGCTTGAAATAATGACTACGTATTTTTGATTGGTCTATCAGGTGTCCACGTGCTTGAATCATGTTTTTGATTGGTTTGTCAGGTGTTCACTGTTGCAGGAGCCAGGATTCTCGGTGTAAAAGATTTGCCGAACTCTAGAATCTTCCTTATCGACCGTGTTTTGTACGTGCCCCAAGGCGACATCTATACCTCAGTAGCAAAATCCCCTGAATTACAGAACCTAACTCGATGTCTGCAGAAGACAGGGCTGGATACCTTACTGAAAGGTGAGGAGTATTTGTATTTATGACAAACCTACAAAGGTTCTCTGCTGCCACCTCTAATTCTGAACCACTGACCGGAGGGAAGGCAGTCAATCAACAGAATCTACCAATCTTATAATGTGGTTTTGGAAATATTCTGTGGTATTGCACGAATTCGAACCCGGTTCGCCAGCTGCTATATCCAGAACTATACCAGAGGGTTAACCCACACCCTGAAAGCTAAGTACAGGATTACAGACACGCGTTTGTTAAATTACTTTTATCAAAATATAGAACATAATTACTAGATATAAAATATGGCATTTAACTCATACTCTTCTGGTCTAATCAGTAGACTAAAGAGATATCAGCCTAACTGATAGACACAGTTTTTAACAAATCAATCTTACGTTGTAAGGTCATTCACTGAAGTAGGCTTAGCTTGGACCTGCAAATGCTAATTATTTTTATTATTTTGCTTAGTATTCTAAATCGTTTTCATGCCCAGTATAAACCTAATGTTGTGTATTAGTAAGTGCATTCCACGGCTGGCTTTACATATTTTGTGTATTAGTAAGTGCATCCCAGGGTTGGCTTTAGGTATTTTTTTGTATTAGTAAGTGCATCCCAGGGCTGGCTTTAGGTAATTTGTGTATTACTAAGGGCATCCCAGGGCTGGCTTTAGGTATTTTGTGTATTAGTAAGTGCATCCCAGGGCTGGCTTTAGGTATTTTGTGTATTAGTAAGTGCATCC